CAGGTAAGGTGGTCTGGTACTCCCATCTCTTTAAGAATTTGCCACAGTTTGCCTCACCTTCTTAGCCTTCTATAAAGCTGTGGAAAGCTGGTTTTTTCCCCAGGCATTGGAATGAGAAGGTTGCAGCCTGGGAATTGAAGACGTGAATTGGTATAGTTATGGCTTGGGGAACTGATTTTTCTTGATCCCCCCCCCTTTTTTTTCTCCTCTGCATTGGTTTTATTGCTTGTGTTTTTATCATTGTTGTTAGCCACCCAGAGTTGTGTGCCACAAGATGGGCAGCCATACAAATCTTTTAAACAAGCAAACAAAAAGTCAGTCAGTCAGTCAGTCTGTCCATACATCTGGATGGAACCCAGGTTGGGGTAAAGTGTAGAGATACTTCATTCTGCTACCACTATGAGAGGAAAACTTGGTATATTAGGGTGTGCATATCAGAGATAGGCTGCTGATCCATCTGACTCAAAGCCTCCATATTCTATTTACTCTGGAATTAATGTAGTGATTTTTCTACCATGGTAGTCGTTTGGTGGGAAGAAATCAAAGCTGCTTCCCATTCTGTCAGGGCACAGATAAAATGGTGGTTTTGCCAGCAGATTTCCTCCTTCTATGGTGTAAACACAAGATGGAATTGCTGCCGGATGCCTTTTGTTGGCTACTGTCTTACTACAGATCCATTTGGGATTTTGTCTCTTTATTTTAGTGCAATGTTACATTCTGTTATGGGAAAACATAAAATGCAGCTTTTCACCTGAAGGGCGGATCTATGCGAACAGCAACAGTCCTGATTCTCAATGGTTTCCAGTGTGATCTAGAGAACAAAAGATAAAGGACGCAGTTGGGAAAATTGCTGGCAAAAGAGCAGGACCTCCAGCATTGTGATATGCACAGAAGCATCTTGAGGGAGGAAGGTGGGGGGATGCTGCTGAGTAAATTCTTTTGCTGTCTCTCATATAAGTGAATGTCTGTATTTTGAAAATAAAAATCTAAGGTATTCTATTGTGGAGTACTGTTATGTGGAAGACACATTCTGCCAATGACAGAAGATAGCTCAGTCTCTACTGAGAGGCATTTCCTCAGGAGGTATAATAGGAACTAGTGCATTGTTATGAGGAACGGGAGTTGAAGTTAGTAACAACCTCCTTGTCTGGTGTAATATAAAATGGAGAGATATAATTATGTCTTTTACTTACTAAATGATTATAAGAATGACAGTTTTTTGGCATTAGAATGTCTTGAGATGCCTCTAGAGAGTACTTGGCATTTGTTCTGTTTCATTTTAGGCTGCCAAGGGTCTGATTTTCAACTGATGTCATTCTTTCAGGGCTTACCAGCTCTTGAAGATACAGCTAGCAATGTGGCAGAAAGGCTGCAGGAATAAGGTGAGCTGGAAGTGAGAGACTGGGGGACGATGGATGGGTTACCTAGAAAGAACTAATAGTTTATCATTGATTGGAATTGCTGTCCAACATGTCTGGAGGCCACCAAGGTGGAGAAAGTTAATTTTACTCATCTATATTCTGCATCACCAACAGTGAAAGGTGACTGCAAATATTGCTATTCTTTCCACTAACCCAGATAAATGTAGCTTGAACACTGAACAGTGAGAGAAGAGTGTTTTATACAAGTTCAGAAGGACTTTTTTATTATTATTACATCATGTTATTGGAGCAGAAAACCCTGCTGTTGTTAGCCATAATTGAGTCTGTTCTTTCATCTAAGGATCTCAAGCTGCCATAATATGGGGTTATCCAAATTTATTCTACCTGACGAGATTGGCTAAACTGACATAGAATGGCACAAGGTCAGCCAAGAAACTGACTGTGGGTGATTTGAACCTGTACTCCTTGTTCCAAGTCCTGCATTCTACCTATTACACCATAACAAATGAAGTCCCGGTTGAACTTAAGTCAAAAGTATTACTTTGTCTTCATCCCACAGAGATGAACTCATTGTCATAATCAGCCTGGTGCAAGGGCCAATTTGTCAGAGTCTGATTTAGATTTAACAATCTGTGTTAAACTTTAGAACCTGAGGAGTAAAGGAACTGGATAGTTGATTTCCTACCATCTTGGTATATAAAATTAAAAATACTTTACCAGGAGGGTAGAGACCCTTTGTGGTAGTACATTAGTGGTAGCTATTTCTATGGTGTATTTTCTTTCTGGGGATGAAAAGAAATGCATTGCATTTTTGTCTTGATGTGTTTCTCAATTAAGGTTCCTTCTCTGTTTAAACTGCTGGTATGTCCTACCTTGCTTGGGGAGCTGTATCTCAAGACAGTCTACTTAGCTTCCAATAATAAATATATAGCTGTGATTTTTGCAGGCACCTGAATAATGCAGCCCTTGTTTTTCCTCTTTTCCCTTTCTTCTCCCTTTCCTTTGGTCCTTTCATCTGAAGAAACGGACCCTGAAGCAGCTTCGCCTGGTAAAACACAAGAAACAGGATGAGGCCCCTTGGCTGGACTCTTGCCCAGGTGAATTGTGATCCCTCTTTTGTCTCTTTCCACAGGTAGATGGAGAAAGCTTGCCTTTGAGCTATACTGCCATTTTAGATTAGTAACTTCTGGGGGATGGTTCTTCCTACCAGGAGGTATACTCTATATGTTGGGATGGTATACTTTGTAGATGTTCGTAAGATGCTAGAAATCAATGCTTTATTAAGCCTACCTTTGAATCATCCTGTCAGGGCAGCTTACAATAAAATATTAAAAACCTGGTAAGTAATTAACAGATAAAAATAAATGTAAAACCAGGAGTCTTCCAAAATTAGCATACAAATAATACACAGTATCAAACAGATAAAAATAAATTAAAGGGGTAATAGAAAGAAAAATCAGCTGGAATCCGAAAGACATTGAATTAGGTGATAGGTGAATCTTCCTGGGAAGGGCATTTCAGAGCCACTACAGCTCAGTTTATGAAGAATTCCTTTTCCTAGTAACTATCACAAAGAACTGGGGAGAAGAGCGAGCCTCTGATGAAGATCTAAAATAAGAATATGTTGTAAATCCAATGCCTGTAGCATCTTTGTGAGTGTGCATGCATGTGAAGATAATAATGAAAACATATGTTACTATATGTAACATATATGCTATATACACTATATAAATTGATTTAATAAATAAATATTTTAACTTCCTTTTATTCTCTGTTTTATTTTGTTTTACATATTTTAATGCATTTTACTGTTTTTAGCTTTGTTGTATGCTGCCCAGAGTCACCTGTGGTGAGATGGGCAGCTATATAAATTGATTTAATAAAAAATAAATAATTGAGAGTTTAGGATCTTTCCTGCAACATTCCACCCCTCCAGGCAGTAATTTACGTTGTCTTTTTTAATATAATTTTTATTAAAATTTTTAAACAAGAAGATAAAAACTAACACAAACTAATATGAAGTAAAGAAGAAAAAAGAAAAAGAAATCAAAGAAGCAAAAAGTGGAAGAAAAGAAAAAAGTGGAAGAAAAATAGAAAAGAAAGAAAAAAAGATATAAAAAGTGGTTTCTGATTCTTCACAGTAGTTATGAGTACAAATATATTTTAACCTCTCTCTCCAAAGTTACATCATATTACTGTTCTTTCTATAATTTATTCTCTGTAATCATCAAAGCCAATGACAAGTTCATTTTTTTATTTTTATGCAAAAAGTCCATAAGAGGCTTCCAGCTACCAATAAATGTAGATAGTGTCTTTTCTCTAATCAAAAAAGTCATTTTATCCATTTCACCAAAATCTGTTAACTTCACCAACCATTCCTCTATAATGGATAGTATTGAATCTTTCCATCTCTGTGCATATAGTAGTCTTGCTGCAGTAATCATATATTGAAATAATCTTCCATGGCTTTTTTCTAACTGTTTATCCATTAATCCTAAAAGGAAAAGTTCCAGCTTCAATTAAAATTGATCTTTAAAATCCTCTGTATCCAAGTATGTATTCGAATCCAAAATTTTTTAGCTTTTTTTACATGTCCACCAAGCATGATAAAATGACCCTTCATGCTGTTCATATTTCCAACATACATTTGAAGTGCCTTTATACATTCTAGAAAATGTCTGTGGCGTCATGTACAGTGGGGCAAAAAAGTATTTAGTCAGCCACCAATTGTGCAAGTTCTCCCACT